TCATTACCTGGCCATTTGGGTTTAGAGTGGGTCCAAGATATTCAAAATCGGGCACTTTTTCAATCGGCAATGGATTATTAGAAATCGGTATTTTATCAGCTTCTTGTATATAAGATGAAAAGGATAAAAGAATTTCGTTTTATTAACATTCACCACAAAACCGATTCCCGCTGCAGATATTGACACATTAGTAGTTTGTATTTAGCATGATTTGTATTTCATTAACGAAAAGGACCTCATCATCAGCGTGTTCAAGATCGTGATACGATTCTCTTCTCTTGAGTATCGACAAGCGATGTCCATTATCCAGTCTATCGCATAATTGAATATTGTAAGGGAAAGAACGCAGTCTTGATGGACACCAATTTTTATTACGAACAAGTCTGTCAGTTGCCCATACAGATCCAAGGTATGCTGATAAAATACCTTTATGATGAAACATGCTATGATGGGTTGTAGATATTTGAAGCGATATTCCAACACTCTTCTTAACATGAATATATGATCAGCACAGCAAAGTCCCGGTCTAAATCCAATAGTTATGTGTATCGTGCTGCCTTATACTGCCATAAATTTTTTAAGTTGAAGAGAAGCAAAAATTTTCTCGGAGATGTCTAGTAGGCTGATTCCATAGTAATTATCATAGAATATCTTGTCACCTTTTTTAAGAATTGGGAGCAAAATTACTTCGCTGCAATCATCTGGTATTATTTCTTTCTTCCATGCCAGAGAGTACATTTGTTAAAAGCGTGTTATGAAGACTGATGGATAACATTTGAAAAGTTCAGTTCGCGGACCATCTTGTCCGGGAGTTTTATTGGCCTTAAGCTTATGTACAACAGAGATTATTTCCTCTACAGCTTGCGATTCAAACATATGGTTCGACAAGCAGATCAGCTATGTAAAAAATAGATCAATGAAATTATTGACTGGAAGCAGTGGGATAATGCTCGCCTACCACGCGTTGATTATAATAAATAACCTTGATCCGACTGCTTTCTCAGAACAGTAGAATAAACACTTATCACCGCACGTATTAATAAAAATCTTTATTCGCTACCTCAAACTTGGGTAAACCAATCAATATATAGTCAGAAAAAACAAGCTATGATTAAACCAAATAGATTAAAAGGCAAAACAAAGGGAAAGCAAAAGAAAAGAATAATGGGGTAAAGGACATATTACCTAATGAATGTTTTAAACATTAATATTAATATTAAAATATTAATATTGGGACCCAACTGCTTGGATCCCTTAATGACTTCTAAAATGGCATAAGAACGATATGGCGCCTAATAGGGGCAGAAGCATAATATGGCGCCTAAAAGAGGGAGAAAAATGATATGGTGCCTTAAAGTGCAGAAGATTTTCGTAAGTATACAACATATACTGTAAATTGTCCTTTATGTTTTATTGACATATAAAGTACAATAAGCAAAGAATCGATAAAGAAAGTTTTCTTTGGCGCGTCGGGGTTACCGGTTTGAAATAATGATTTAAGAATCATAAAAAAAGATATTGCATTTCTCGACAAGCTATATCTGGGGCAACAATGGCGCATCGTGGTTAAGTTTGGCTTCAAAGAATTCATCCTATCTTATGAGGCGATCCTTAATAGTTTTAGCAGGTACACCATTAATGTTCTGTATTATTTCGCTACCATTTCACAGGTATTAGTTTTTTTGTGAAGAAAGTGGAATAGTTTCCTATTATGACTTAATTGAGTCACCACCAACATTACTATTCTCAAGGCGAAGAAAATAATCCCCATTAGCGCATCGAATCCCGCTGCCAATTGCCTATTTGCCAATTACCGAGTTCATTGTTACCGCATCGTGAACCTATATGAGCATTCCCGTCTCCCCTGATTATGGCTATGTCATATTTTTAGCATTTAAAGTTCCACATAGAACTTACCCTTATCACGGTCATCTGCAAAGTTGGAGCATATACATTGTTGATCAAGATACTGCAGAACTTTCCTTTAAATCTGGCATCAATCAAAACGGAGTGGGCCTTTTCATACATGACTTTTAGCGGATTGGATCATTTTGCCATAAATATAAAGAAATAAATTTCGATAATAATATTTCAGTATGAAAGAGAGAGACACATGATTTTTTTTTATTTTTGATGCTCTTTCGATATGTGCTAAAAGCGAATTTCTTTAAAATCTTCGCTGACATATATTTTTTCAAAACGCCGTGTAGATACTTCCAATAATCAGCAAGTATCTCATTTTTTTCACTATTTAGCTAAATTTCTTTTCTCATTCTCACTTATTTATTTATTTATCATTTCAGTTATTTATGAGCGCTTCATGATGAAATGTCATGGGATTTACATTTATTATTGGTATTCATCTTAACTGTTTCAGTAAAATGGCTAATACACTGTTAGAAAAAATTGTATCTGATCTAAGATGATAGTTGAAAAATGTAGTTGCAGTTGCAAATATTCAAACTTAGCGTTACAGAGAATACTTAGCGTTTAAGGTTAAAGGTTTAGAATTAGGCTGAATAACAAGAAATACGTAGTTTCTCTAAATTTATCTGTGAGAAAATAAGCTTTTATCTAATCTGAATGATGATCAAGATACTGAAAACTCATCCTTATATCTATCTCATGCTGTTTCTTTAATGAGAGTATCTACCAATAAGTGAAGCCAGCCAAGCCAAGAATGGTACCCACTTTTGGAAGATGATGATGATGGGTACATTAATTAAAATCTAATGCCAGTTTTTTTTAAAATTTTCGTTTGGCTCGGATGTGATCGAAGAACATAATTATTAAACACTATTTTTAATTTAGAAATATTGATTGTAAAATACTAAAATAAATATAATCGTTTGTATTGTAATGGCATATATATATTTTACATGCATTCATGCGTTTTGACGGCGAAAACTCGTTGAAAAATTTTTCCTCCAAAAATATGTTCCCTTCTTGCCTGAAGATAAATTCATTCATAAAATAAGCTTCACACCAAAGTTGGAAACCTTTTAAACTGCTAAATAGATTAAGCAATTTTCTTTTCGATTGTCCATCAATTTCTTTATTAGCTTTATCGCAAACTCAGAGGCGTTTATTGATTTTGTTTTTATAACGTGTGTTGGCTTTTCGATAAATCCTGGCTTCTTAACTGGATTTCAGGCTTTATTATTATTAATGATTAATAAAACTATTTTTCTAATAGATCGATCTAAAGCGGTTAACGAGGCTTCATTTCATTAAACAGGCATAAGCTTGGATGATATTCCAATAATCTGTGATAGTTGGTTGTCGTAATAAAAAATCGCAAACTTATCGTTAAAGGAAAAATACAAATGCTTATATGGCTCAGTTTAATTTATAATTGCAATTCGTTATTCGAATTTTTTTAAATATTGGATTATTCGGTCGAATTGTGTAGTCCAATGGAGCGAACCAAATTTTTTATTGCTCCATACATTTTAGTTTTATGGATTTGTTTATTCGCTTATTCAATTCGACCAGTTCAAAAGCATATGGGCTTTGCTTTTTGTTTTAATTCGTTTTTTTCATCACAATCTTCTCGCTATCTTACATTCACGCTTTCCCAATTCATCAAATCAGAATAGGCAGCTCGTTGTTGGTTAGATTATCCTCTCGAAGGTCGACGTTTCGATCTTGCAGCTGATGCAAATGTCACTGGAAAAGTCTGTGTGGTGCTAGGGAGCCAGCGCCAGCGTTATTTCTATTCGCAAGTGTCTCTCTGGCAAAAATTTCTCACCGCATTAATGGCTTCCTTTGTTTACTCCATAGATAATAAATACCTAAATGAAGAAATGAATATATTTCATGAAATAAATGTTATTTGAAAGCTTAGTTTGTTTTCATTCATTATTTCTCTTATTTTTGTTTCCATAACTTTTTTCAATAATTGCTGCGAATTCGTATCGCTAATTTATATGGCTTTTGAATAATTTCCATCACCATCTATTTCAAATTCAAATTTTTCTTATTTTTTAATGTTTTTCTTCGCTAAATCATAGGAATAGTCGTTTACCATCTGATTCATTTGATTTTCTCTGCTTATTTGCATTTGTTCATTTTTCTTCAACATCGAATATTTTATACTGAATATTTTTTTTTCATGTAGAACAAATTGCTTTCCTCCTGGATTGCTTAGATTTTCTTTTGTTGTGTAGCCAAGGCGATATTGGCTCAGATTTTAGTGTCGAGAGACAAGGATTCGGCTCGCGCCTTTGACAAGGCAATATAAAATGAACCGCTTCATCTTAACTTCCATCGTCAAGTAAATAATAGCAAAACTTTCTACGTTAACCGCTCAGCGTTAACCGCTAATCCCTTACCGTTTACTTGTTCTAATGAATAGAAAAAATTACTTCGCTTCGAAAGACCTATTGATAAGTTTCATCTGCGATTCGATTAGTCTGCAGCAAACTGCTTTTAAAAAGGGAAACAAAATGACACTAACTCTTACGAGTTCAAATTTGCCTTCCTTTTGCTTTTATTGTCATTATTATTGCCGAAATATATTAAGATTATACATCATAACGAATGAATGAATTTTTACCTTTTATTCTTTTTATTGATGGCCATTCACCAATTATTCAGGAAACGCTTATTAGATTAAATGCCTAAAGCAAAAATGTGGTTTTTAAATCGACTTCTGCAAGATTTCCTTTATTTAAAACTTTCTAATTTGATATTTCATTTGGTTTATTGATGCGTTAGCCATCCCTCATGGAAGGAGTAATCTGCTTTTCTCGAAACCAGTTGGCGATTCTATTAAAATCATTCGATGGTAGAATACACTTTTCGATTTTCGAATGTCATTTGGAATATGATTTCTTCTGAATTTCGAATTCCCATATATGCGAATATCATGGATTTTGCCACTTAGTCAGAGTCCGTTCATGCAATTTTTCCCATTTATGCAATTTTCGGTTTTAAAATAAAATTTATAGATATAAGACAAGTGTGATGATTTAGCAATGCACTAACACTATGACACTATGACTATTACAATAATTGTTGCTCTCTGGCGCCATCGACTTAATCTTTTTGGATATCGAAAACCAGCTGATGTTCGAATTATAGCTGTAGGGCCAATCAGCTGTTTAACTGATGAACAGTGGTATGTTAATTAATTTTTTTAAATATTTCACAAATTCATTCAATAAGGTAATAAAGCTGAAATTTAAAAGAAATTCTTTCAGTGTAGACATTTTCTATCAAATCAACTGCAAGAATCAAACTGATCATTCTTACTTATCACTTGCACAGAAAGTGCATGAATTAGCATCAAATTATGGCGCCACTACTCGTTATATTTGTGTCTTTGAAAGAGATCTTCAGGAAACCATTGCAAAAATAAGGTATTTTACGTCAGACTGAATAAATAAATTTGAGAATTTTTAAAAATTTTCCCCATCGCTGCTCGAAAATGATGGATAAGCGCGATCATAATTTAGGTTCAGTTTGGATATAGAAGGCACAGTACCTGAGCATGTTGAATTACTTTTGCATTCAAGAGATCTTAAAACCATTGCGAAGCGAAATGGATTGATCACTGCGAGGTATACTTTTGCAAAGTAAAAAGTCTAAATCAGATAGATCGAAAAGAAATATATTTCGACTACAGTTATTCTGTTTGCTGATTTGATATCTAAAATGATCAAATGTTGAAAGGTCTTGTACGATTTCTTCACAGTCTATTGTTGAAAAATGGAAGGAAAAATTAATCTGGCAAATAGGAACTTTTCCAATGTTCGTGAAGGCGATATTAAATGATGATAATAGATGTACACGACTGCATTATATAGCTAACAGTTTCGAGTCACTTCAGGAATGGGTTAAGGTTTAATTTTCATTCAGTGGGATCTTAATTGAATGTTTCTGTAAAGCAGGCCTGCACAACAACTATGCCCCGTCGAGCGCTCTCGAAATGAAGGTGGACTATATTATAAATGCATTGAGCTCTTCTCTTCACGAATCAATGTGAAGTGCGAAGTTTAATTTGCAAATAATTTGTTTAATTTTGGAAATTTAAGCATACTTCTATAGATTTTGATGAAGGAAAATTCAATAAAGGTCATCGAAACTGCCGAGATGATTTCTTTTATATTTATACACATTCATATATGCTAATAAATATTTTCTATCAGTGGACATTCGCAAGTATTCCGTTATAACAAGTTTGTTTGTCTCTGACAAGGGCAAAACTGTCATAAAAAATTTTTCTCCGTACCTACAGCCAGCAAGTCCATCAGAAATCTGGAGCGCTAAGCATTTTTCAACTTTCACTGCTACTAAAAAGCGATTCGATATTTCATGCTAATTTTGATTTTACTCGTGATTTTTATAGTTGAATAAATATTTAAGATATTTGTACCCTTTACTACAGCAACTACATTATTTGTGATTTTCGTTATCAGAATGGTCCTTCTCGATGAGTTGTGCTGGCCTGTTGTACTTTTTATATTAATTTAATATTATTATACATTAATTTTTACAGAATGAGAGTTATTTTGCTTTGCATTTCAAATATATTTTGATAAACAGTTCCTTAGGTCATAGTAGGTCATAAATTTATTGATCAACATTCTAGAATTTTCCCTGAAAAGATTTTCTGATTTCCTGATTTAAGGCTCAGTCGAACTGCATAACGGAACTTCATATTGAAGAATGTCTGCAGAATGGCAACGAATTTATTGCCGTTTGCTCAAAACTCGGTCTTATTGGTTAGTTGAAATATTTGTGATGGACTGTGCTTTACTGCCCTGCTTATTCAAATATCACTTCGGTTTTACTATTCAATTAGTTAGAGCAATTTAAGGCTTATCAAATTTACAGGTTTTTGATGAATTCTGCTTTTTAATGAATATTTAGGCACTATTGTGACGACATATTCTAAAAGGCCAGTTCTTTACAACGTGCACAAACAGATTCCTTATGCACTAGAATATTTACCTGTTGATAAAACGCGAGATCATTATCCTGGAATTGAGTCTTTCGTTTTACAAACCACTAAATCCGTTTTCATAAAGTCCTCCTATTCGCTTTTATTTATACGCGGTTTTTATAAAGTTAGTTCACCTTAATTTAACTCTCTTTAACTAATCAACTATTTTTCAAATATTTTCCAGAGACTTAGGAAATATTGTCTTTCAAAGAAAAAAAAAAATTTCAATAGTTCTGATTCACGAAAATGGCCTTACGCAAAAATATTACAGGGACATAGCGATATATACTTCATGGGTGCATCGTTAGAGCCACCGTCGAAAACTCATGCATCACTCATATATTTAGCACGAAATTCAAGAAGCTGGGAAGTATTGCTATTAGAGAATCTCAACTTTCCACAAGTCTGAACAAGAATATTTAAAGAAATGATGGAATTTATTTTTATTTTCGTGAAGACAATATACACTGTCTAGAAAGGCACACCACATCACTGTTAAAAGACTATTCGTAGCCTTTATTCGTAGCGAAGCCTTTATTCATAGAATTATAAAATTAAGAATATTTAAAATATTTAAATATTTAAATAAAAATAAAAATATTTAAAAGAACATTGTGTGGGAATCATGTAAGTATCATGGTGCTTACAGAATCATAATGGTGATATATGCTCGAATGATTCATGCACTTATTATGCGGTGATCAATTTTCCCACTACTGAAGGAGTACTATTACATCAAACAAGCATTCCAAAGCACAATTCACAACAAAGAGTCATATGGAGAGCATCAGAAGGCGATGTTATGTACGATGCGACACATATCGACGAAAATGTCCTACAAGCAAGTGGCTTGAATTTATTTCACTAATTTCGAAGTAATTTCGAATGGAAAGATAGCAATTTTTCATACATTTCTCATGTTTTTCTTACGAGGTATTCTAAATTATTTAACTTCACTTGCTAGTCATTTTGTATGTATTAAGTTCATAGCAAAACGATAGTTTGTATGAGTTTTTGCACTTTTTCTAGATCTATTTGTTCCACACGAATCGTGATGAATTCTTCAGCGACATCACTGAAATCATTCAAAAAACAGATATACCGATGGATCGTTTGTGTTTTATTGATAGATACCATATATGTCCACGTCATCGCCAATTAAACCAACGCCCTTATGGCAGCAATAGTTTGGTCCGCAGTAGTACAACAACTGATTGATATAATTCAACTACATTGACTCCACTCTTCTACACATACATTATCTTAGATGGACCGATCGTTAACTCACGGGAAGTTAATATATCTTCGTTGGAAGCACCATTGACAACATGATGGCTTCATGAATTTGAGTAAAAGCATTATTTTTCATTAACACTGTGTAATAATTACGGGTTCGCTATCCAAAATATTTTATGAACCTTGACCAACGTCCAACGAAGGTATATTTCAAAGTATTTATTTGACTTTCTACCACTACATGAATAATTTTCGACAGGATTCCACGAAGTCGTCCTGTGTTCTCCTTTCAAAAGTGACCTATGCAAATTACTCTTTCTCTTAAACCAAAATATAATGTGAAATATTTTCATCTCTTCATCTCAAGCTTATCTCAACAAGAGCGAGGGGGTCTTTGAAGAAATTTTCTAAGGAACAACTACCATTGCCTTAATTCCATTCATGCCAACCTTTATCGCTTTTGCTTAAGAGTACCAAAGAAATTAAATACGCCACACCATAATCTTTCAGGTTGTATGAACTAATATTAGTTTTATTCGCCTTTCCAACCTTCTTTATTATTAATTTTGTTTTGTAAAATAACTAATATAAAAAAGTATCAAAAACTGCATACCAATGATAGCCTAAAATATTAAAGCATGAGGCTAGATTTATATTTGAGCTTCGTTTATGTGCAATACATCAAACATATTTGGCTGTGATATGCATACCCACAACACCAGCCTATATATAGTGTCGTAGACAGGCATAATTGTGAATTATGAGAATTACAAAAGGTAGTGTAGAACAAAAAGACTCAATAAGAAAGCACATCACGCCGCAACAGTTCAAATATTTTGCAGCCATAACAACGTGAACTGATAAAGAATAAAGCGAAATTCAGTGACTAATTTTTAAAAGTATCGGTTACATCACATTGTGGAGTAAAATACTACTACAATTCCTCATCAAATGATGAATATAATAAAATGTGCAAAAATATGAAAATAAAAACAATGCGACATTACTTCCACAATTCTGATTAGCAGTTTTGCGATACAAATGTCACAAATTACTGTTACAAAGGCGATAAATATGAATAAAAACAACAAGCTATAAAAATTAAAATAAAAATTATATATTAATATAAAAATTAATAAAGAAAAATACATTTTCTAATGATATTCTGCAAGAGTTATGCCTGGAATTGAACTATGAATTCAGTTTTCATAGCAATAAAACCATGGTATCAAGTAAAGTAAAAAGTAGATGGGTAGCGCTTACCTTTTCTGTACAGGCGCGCTCCATTGAGTGTGGTTAATTTTTCTCGAGGGATTATTGGCGAAAATGAATCCCCCCTACCACCCTAACTTTTTAGTTACTCTTTTTGGAGGCAGGAATCGAACTATTTTCCTCCCCTCCCCTCTTCCTCTCCTCCAACACGATAGTCTGAAGTAATACCCACACAGTTATTTTGCCCCATGAACCACGGTATTATGATAAATTATGAAAAAACCAGAGACCCGCTACCTGAAATTAATCTATACTTTTTTTTCAAAAAATTGTCGCCATAAACGATCTGAATTGCTAATATTACTGAAATATTACTAAAAATATTAAAATATTGCTAAAAATATTACTGAAGACCTCTTTTTCCAATAACATAACATTTCTTAACTCACAGTGAAATCTTAAAATTCCCGCATAAACAGACCACGACACGTAAGTATTCATTTCCTACCCACGTCATCCAAGTCATAATGTAAATATTATTTTTAGAAAGTTTTATGAAATCTATATTTATTGGAGTAAATTCTTTCACTTCAATTTACTTCACGTAAATGTCCATGACAGCAATAATATTAATTAAACAACTAGCAATCGGAGCTGCTTCCATAAGAATATTTCTGTGACCCAAACACTTTTGCTAAACCATCAGCGCCAGCTGATCCAATGAGAGGCCGTGATGGATGAAATGCGACTGACATTACAGCACTGTCAAACTTTTTGCGATGAGCAGGTATTTCCTGTAAGCAAATCCGCTTTTCCATATTCCATAATCGAAGTGAACCATCATGACTTCCAGATAACAGATACAACCCGTTAGGATCTATAGCAAGAGAAGAAATTGGCTGCATATGGGCAACGGTTCCATGTATTAATTTGCCTGGAAAATATAGGAATGGTTGAAAATACTGAAGAATTTTGCAAATCTGTTATAATAGATCGTAGATACTAAATATAACAAATGCTCAGAAAACCAACAACATGTTCCATATATTGATTGCATTCGGAATAGTCGAGAAGTAACGAGAAAAACAGAAAAATAGAAATCGAATACCTGTATTATTGTCGAAATATCGAATTTTTCGATCATCGCCGGCAGTTAATGTAACAGGCATAGTGGGATGTGATAAAATTTTCGTGATTAATCCAGCATCTGCAATTGATGATTAATATTGCCAAATGCTCGATTCATCATTTCGAATTTTATTGTTTCATCCTCATAGAAAACTCGTTTATAAAATTTGACTTAAATTCTACAGAAAGATTAATCCCACAATAAAAAAATAACCTTCTTCAAAATCGAAAGAAAGTACTGTTCGACCAGTTTCGAGATCAAGAATCGAAGCATACGAGTGAGTGTAAGCTGCTAAAAGTTGCTGATGTTCTGTGGAGACAAAATCGACCGAAGTTGGACGCAAACTTATTGATGGAGCCCCAAATGTTTTAATGAGAGATTCAGTGCTGCCTTTAAATTTAAAAAAAAAAATCCAATTTTTCGAAATTCAAATTCAGAAAAGATAATTTATAATCTCGACATTTAAGAACCAACCTGGTTCCCACAATTTTATTGTTCCATCCGCGGAAGCACTAACTAATCGATTGTCTGATGAATGATACGCAATAGACCAAACAGCATCTGCGTGTCCCTTTAGTTTTTCAACTAAAACTTTCGGGTCTGAAAAAAGCATTCTTAAGAGTGAAAAAAGAACTTCTTGACTTGCTTTCTCCGCAGAAATGTGCATATTAACTTTTATAGACAAAACAATCTAATCTAAAAAGAAGAATTGATAAAAATGGCCTTTTTAAAGAAAAAACCACACGGAAAAGAACAAGAATCCAAAGAATAAGAAAAAGAATTCTTGCGAAAAGTACTATATATAATATACTTATATATATAGTGTATATATATGTAATATGTAATTTCTTATAAATAAATTTTAAAAACTAAACTAAAGATTCATCCACAGTTTTTCTCGTGACATTTAATAAACAATTCCATTAAAGATTAACATATAATAATTATTGTTATCCTTCTACCCACCATATATGTCGTAAATATCAATATTCACTGAAGGAATGGACCAACAACAAATGACTCCATCATAACCAGCAGTATAACACATATCTCCCGTAGGAGACATATCCATGCAAAGAACCGCGCCACTGAAATATTTTTGAAAACAATGATAGGAAAATATTCTTAGTAGTTTAAATACCATAAATTTTTGTTTTCCGAAAAAATACACAGCATGCAATATTTTGCACTAAGCCCAATTCACTTCGAAATCTTACTTATGACCACGGAAGGTATATATTGGTTCCAATTCGGTGATTGTGGTCGCTTGTGATGGCGCTTGGGCTAAAATTACAATGAATAACAAAGAATTTAATGAACTGTCATTTATGAAAGGACAAGACAGAGTACATAATAAAGAAATTAAAAAAAAAAAGAATTCTCCTTGAAATAATCGGCAGTCAAGTCAAATTAAATATGCAGATAAAAAATATAAATATATTAGAGAATAAAAAATCCACCTCCCTTTGTTGCATCAGATTTCTGTCCTGTATTACCAAGATTCCATAGTTTTGCCGTTCCATCTTCACTAGAGGTGATGAGCACCGGTTCGACCGGATGAAATTGCATTGCACGAATAGAATCGAAGTGCGATCTCAGGATAAATTTTAGATTCCATCTAATACCAAGTGTATCTTCATCTGACTAAATTATTATCTGTAGTCAAATAACAAAATTATCTATATAAAAAATCTTGGTGAAATGAAAATAGTGCCCCAATTTTGATATTGAACATAAATAATAATAAAACGATCACAAAACAAAAAAGATACCCCGACGAAATCATCTTTAATATCAACTGGAGTATCGTCTGTGATACCAAGAGCTGAATTAATATTCATATAATCTTTTCTAGCCTTTCCACTGCAAATTTGCGGAATTTCATCTGAAATCAACAAATGAACAGAAACACTACTGATAAAGCACGATTATTTACAATTCAATTCGGAATCATAAAATATTACGAACCATTAATAACCTCTCGCTTTGGATCATCCTGACTTGAACAGTACATATCATGCTGGCCTTTTGCTGATGGGCCATCGCTTTGACTTGAACCACGTTTTTTTTCCTGTTCTAGTCTGAAGATAATTAAGTTAAAAAATTCTGCAGATTACGCTGTGAAAATTTAATAAAGTCCCAAAGTTCCAAAAATTTTTACGTAAAGAAATTTCGCCAAATAGTAAATATGCAACACCTGAATTTCTCCTTCATCTGGTCAATAAAATGTTGATTGACGCCCCATTCTCCACCATTATCTACACGCTTTTTATTAGCAATAACCTTTTCATCTTTCAAAAATGAAAATTCGCCCAAAGCATCAACTGTTTCAGGGTCAAGAATATCCTTTTTGACAGCCTTTCGCGACCGTTGTTCATCATCTGAATCACTAAAGAGAAACACATAACAAAACATAAAACAACGACCGATAGCAAATAATTCACCGATAATTTAATGAAAGCTAAATATTGCCCTAAATATTAGTCCATTGCTATGTAATGAAGAAACCTTTCATCAGTTCCCAACCGTACGCCATCATGTTTCTTTTTGTTGAGGAACTGTGCGGCTTCGACTACAGCTCGATCAGTTTCATGAGTCGCTTTGGCTGCAGCTTGCCGAGAATCGCTGAAAAATTACTTGGCATATAAATTAAGAAGTTAAGAAATTAAGAAATTAATACCTTAACACTAACGGTTTTTATATTCCTCGTTAACAAAATCTTCGAAAAAATATGGATAATCAGTTTCTACCTTGTGCGATCAAAGCCGCCGTATTATAGACGAAAATTTAGTAAATGATACTAAAGATCTACTAAAAAAATATTCGGCTTAGCATCAGTAATGCTAATCAGATAACATGGCACATTGAAAATTTGATTATTAAAAATGTCAGGCATAGGCATTTAACTGTAATACCAGCATGAAATAAAATACAATATTTATTACTTGTTTATATCACTACCAAGCCAATCGTTCTGTGGAATCAATCCTAATAGATTTTTGGTCCGGAACGAGCGAACATCCAAAATCGTTTCACTATAACCAATTTCCTACAAAGAAATGCACTGCTAAACCAATCTGATTACTAATTTGCCAAGTTCTTCATCAATTTTCTCATAAATACTTTTCTTACTGAAAAAAATGCCAAAAAACCTGTAAGTACTGTCGCAATAAAGCCCGAGCATTTCTAAATGTAGAAGCACTATTATATTGTGGTGAATAAGCATCCACATCCAACGGTGGTTGATTAGCACCTTCTAAAACTGTAGGTAAGAAGAAAATTGTATAAACGATAAAAAAAAAATTTTTCATAACTATTTAAAATAAATAAAATATTCATCGACGTAAAGTTATAACTGATGCCATAAAATTAACGACAATCTTAAATCTTGGAGGTATAATGGCTCACTAGGACTGCTACTTCAAAACGCTGGGATTCTACGCTAAATAGGAATAAACCTGCCTTTCATAAATTCAGATGACACTGGTTGACGACTCATTTATTTTCATAATTCTATAGCCAGCTGGCTCGGCGAAATTTTATCCGGTCTGAATCATAAGAGCGAGCCTAATGGTAAGCGCTCTTTAAATTCACTTAAGCCACAATGAAAAATAAAAAAAAGTTTCCTGAAGCAAAAATCATAAAATTACCTGTTTGGTTGTCTTCGGCAGTCAATTCCGCCTCTGGTTGTTCTTGACCATTATGTGTTAAGCGATAATTTTTCGCCCTGAAAAAATTTATGAGCAATAGCTAAAATATTCAGAGAATATCGAGTTTCGCAGCAAAAAACGCATTAACCTTTCTTGTTTCAAACTATACTCCAACATTTTGATCCGTCGAACTAAATCTGCTTTGAGATTTTCTTGACCCTTACGTTCGCCTTGTAAAAAACTAATTCTGGCCTAAAAAACAAACAAAACCTAAAATGATCAGTATACATGTTTTTCTCATATTTAAAGCCCCTCAACGATTAAAATCGTCAAAAAATAAAGAAGGGAAAAAAATACATAATTAATTTCAAAAGGCTTTTTTTTGAAAGTTCTTCAATCTATGCTTTAAAAACCGAAATTACTTAATACCAGAAAAAAAAACGGTTTAGCCAGATTTCTTAAAAATTTCAACAATTATTCACACGAAAGAATCGAAAAACCTTATTATATTTTTCAAATGAACGAAATGTTATATCCGAAAATTAAATTTCAATTGAAAAAATCATATTAACTTATTCTATTCTACTTAATCACAAAAATCACCAGAAAATGAGAAACCTGAAGTTCAGCTCGCTCCATATCCCACTGTGCACGTTCCATCTCATATCGGCTCCATTCATGTTGTAAATAATGCAAAACACCATGCATTGTGTAGGGAACTCGACGAACCTTCAATAATTTAACTAATCACTGCCAGATAAATAAAAATATGTTTAAAAAAATAAAAATAAAAAAAATTTAACATTGTTAATTTCATAAATTTGATGCCACTAAATTAAATCTAGTTTGTTATTAAAAAAAGATGCAGAATAAATAAATGATTATCAAAGTAATAGGCAAAGGTTCGAACTCTGATTCTGTCAACAAAAAGGCGTATTTCTATCGAAAAGTTCTGGTAAATTCTCTGGTAAATTTCTAACAGTAAGAACTGATAACTTAATTAACCAGAAATATTGAAAGCTAACCACTTATTTAATTTGATATTTATGAAATACGATGCTTAAGTTTCAATTGAAGAAATGCTTAAAAAATATGAACAGTAAAATGTGTGATACCTGATCATCATTTTTTCCATCCCCATTTCCTTCAGACTGGCATTCTTGGCTCGGATATTCAGTATTGTTGATTCCGTCATTTGCAGCTACAAAAGTTCAAAATGTCCTAACAATTTTAAAAAATTTATAGAAAAATTAAATATAATGCATAAACATTTTTTGTTCAATCTTTGGCAAAAGTAATAGAATGGTTGCCTTCATTTTCCACATATAAACAAGTGATTTATTGTACACTTAGTAAATAATAAGGTACCCGTCATATTCGGTTTACATGCGGAAGTGATATTTTGTGGCGAGTTATTTGTTCCACCAATATTAACCATGGTGAGCAAATATATTCGTAAAAATAAGCTTTAGAACGACAGCAAGGCACATTCAGCTAACAATGTGTCCTCGATTTTCGAATAAAATTCAGCTATAAATGAATATCTCGGTGATTTAAAAATAAAATCCAAATTTCAAAATGATTGCATCGTGAAAATAAATAAACAGGACAAGTAACCTTAAAATGAATTAGACTTCGTTCTTTAATGATGCTAATATCTCATATGCAACCATTCGTAAACTATAACCTGTACATTATTACGATACGAGATAGTATGGCTCAGTGGCTTGTTGTTCAATTCGGAGCGTCGATGTTGGGGTTCTATTCCCCACAGTAGACCTATCCGGCTGATTTCTATCGCCAAGGTCTCCCTGGCATATTAGTCCAGTGTGACAAGCCAGCGGAGCAAGTTTAACCATTAATGGTGAGGACTCTTTAAAAAAAACATTATTATGACAGAAAACATTATTATTATGACAGAAATACAGTGAAAAAGATAAAATAAAAATAAACCTCTCACTTTTACTTTTAACATAAAAATAAAAATATTAAGATCTCATCTCTTCTCATCATCTTCTTCTTCTAATAGCATTCACCTTTTCTGGTCTGGCTGACTCCAGTTGCTAATAGCAACTTCGCCAAAACTGAACTGAGAATAAAAATATAATAGATCGTAAGCACCACCCGAATAATGACAGGAGCCAAGGGAAAAAAAACTACACTTATGAAGGCTTAACGTTGGCTGAACCAACATACCATCCTATCTCTTGTAATCAATCGACGAATTTCAGAAGTTTAATTAGTATAACAAAATAAATGATTAAATCCTACATTAAATGCCAAAAAACTGACCACGAAATCGTGCAAAGAAGGAAAAAACAGCCAAAAATTAACAAAAATCGCACAGTACGATAAGAATTCTAACTTCTTATTTTATTTCATTCCATTGTCTCAAAAGCGACGGCGCCAATCACTAAATTTTGCCAGAAATCTTAATACGCCTTGACCCAAATAACAAATTAAAGTAAAAAAAAATTCTTAAGTCAACCGGTTTTGACTTTCACCAGTTTTCGCATAAAAACCATAACGTTCTAGATATTTGTGTACTTTTCTCTGCAATTACTTGTTTTAATTAGGTTTCAAAAACTCTGCTTTCAGACGCAAGGTCAAAATGAATTCTTCCTTACTTCCAAAACCTTTTATTTCATAGACCTTCTTTTTTCGACTAATTTAATTTTCGAATCGTCACATATCGACCATAAATTATTTTCGTTTATATGGCTAATGAGAAAGCTAAATTATTACATTTCTAGACCATGAAAAACCGAAAAACCACTAATTTTAAAGCTTTTCGAAGAACGGTAGTCAACCCAGTCTCCTTTTCTACCACAAGTACTAGTAATCGTCTAGCATTCTTGTAAGTCGTTCATCTGACATATAACTCAATTTCCTACCATAGATTCACACATGAAATAACAGAAATCATTCTAATTTTCAAGAGCTGTTCGATCAAGAATAAGTCAACATGATGAACAAAATAATTTTCCAAAAAATTCTGAAAGAACTTGAAAAAACTGCAAGAAATTTATAACGAAAAAGAAAAGAAATTTCATAAAATTATTTTTAAAGAATATTTCATAGATTTATCTAAACACCAAAATTCTAAAGATTAAAATTTACATCGTTTTATATAGTAATACATGAATAATACTGAGAGATCCTCTAAAAATATGAAAGATAAATAAATAAAAACTGAAATTTTACACGAATCAGAAAGTTATATTTTTATATGTAAAGAAATAAACACGAGGAACTGATTAGCTCATACCTATGCCTTAAATCCTATCAACTCAAGCTTACCGAATAAGAAGACAGGTGACCACGTCGCATCTAATCACCACATCTCCTCTCTCCTCGTGCACCGATTTAACCACTCCTTCATGACCCTTTAAAAAGAATTCGGTAACCCCTCGAGTCCAAGCTGCAAATTGAAAATCATCGGACCGACCGTAATTCAACCTGACTAAGAAAATCGTGTTAAGACTTCATCCTTATATGTAAACAGGACCACTTTGACTTACATTTACATGTAATTTTCTCTGTCGAAGGAGTTTTATACTAATTGTAAAGGCTAACGAAACAAGCTAAACGAGGAACCAAACGAGGGCTATTAAAATAAGAAGTTGGACTTGGCACGCTTACGCAATGCACAAGCTAAAGCCCGTTGCCTAAGCCCAAGATCAATAGCAAAACAAGATCAAAGCGTTCGTGCTGGTGGGACTCAAACCTGCAATCGATATATCAACGAAAGTATAACCCATTCTGAAGATGAATAATATAAGGGATGTTAGGGGAGGAAGATGTAGTTCAAACATGCGCAGCATGTGTGCTAGAAAGGAATTTTCTGAAACTTCTTGGCACTATGTTTTTTCGTTTCCAGACATGCCAGCTTATACAGGCATACACCTAGTTAGGCACACATTCGTACTTAAAAGTATAATTATATTCCTTAACTACTGTTTGGTTTCTTAAGGCGTCATTGCGACTTAGGCGCTATGAAGCAGGTCATTAGGTTTGAGAGAATATTAAGGAAACATAGCAGAATATGAGGGTTTTAGGGAGAGCATAGAGCTTTGAGAAAAGCAACGACGACGGAGTTCGAGTTCGAGGAGACGTTTAGGAATCTAAAAGGAAGCTAAAACAATATAGCATGGTTGTGAGGAGTCGTTGAAGCATTCCAACAGGATTTGCGATTATTTTTGAGGAATTAAAATAGATTTTAATGATGTTTTAAAGATCATTAAGCAATAGAAATTTACGTCATCGCTGATTGCATAATAATTTGTAAAATTTCACCTATTTTTGCGATCGCTTTTGTGTGTTAAACTCACACATCTTCGTTCTTCTCCAATATCGGCGGACCTTCGTCTTAAATTCATATCAGAATTCACTGCGAAACTCCCGTACTGCCTCCCCCTCCTAATTATGACCAGCTATTTCCTTGCAGCACCATTTTTTGCACCCAGCCAGTTTTTTATCGTCTGAAGCCGCGTTTTAGATTTTTTGTGGATGAATAGGTCTATAGATTCCTTTCGATGAATGATCTTGGGGATCCTGTTTTTCTGTTCATTTCTTGATGCTTTGACAGTTTTAGTCCTTCATTAGAGAATCAATGGTGGGAGACTAAGGAACCATTGGAAGAACTGATAAATTTTGGATGTTTTTTCTTTCACATGATAAACAAGAACATGTTGTAATCTGTTGCTCGATGCTTAAGTCTATATGATAAGCTTGCATTCAACGTGTTGTTAATAACGTAAGTCTTGCAGTGGTTCGACTTTTGATGGTCATATAATATAGGTGTTTAGTATTCACCATTTCTGTTAGTTTTGCTGCACTGTGGATAGAAAGGCTCAGTGTGGGTCATTGTTCAGCGCCGATGCTGAGGCTCGATTCACCACAGGAGTAAACCTGTCCAAAAATCTGGATGATGCTGGCGACTCACCTGCATTTCTATCACCAAGGGTCTTCTTGGCATTTTGCTCAATGTAATAAGCCAGTGAAGCTAGTTTAACCAGTAATGGTGAGGACTCTTTAAAAAAAAAAGTTCTGCTGCACTGGTTATTAAATCCTGCGGAAAATTTTCGCTGAAATTTTTTTTCCGCTTTTGGATTAAACTACAAGATTTCAAATTACAAATGACTCCCTGTGAAAGCGCCTCGGAAGTCTTCAGACCGGACTTTGAGAATCATTACCTTAAAATAATCAGAAACCATTAAAACGACTTCTCTTGGAGTGAAGGATTTAAGAAAATGAGGTGTTGGTGTTTTGTCTTTACTTTGTTTTTTTCGTTCAAATTGCATTGCAGAGAAATTTTTACTGAACTTCACATTGTTAAAATATTAAAATATTTGTTGGTTATAAATTGCAATATTTTCGCTTCTAAGGAAACAGTTGGTGGAATAATAAAACTTTTTCTACTTCTTGTAATTTATGTTTGTAGTTTTAGGTAAAATGTATAAGGTTCGAGAGAAATCTTGAAGATTTTGTTTTCTGCTTTATTGTCGCTGTGGTTAAAATTTTTTGATCGTCTTTCGCATGAATATTCTCTCTTCAACTTCTGCGACTCTTTTAATTCATTTATTTCATTTATTTAAGCGAGAAGGATATAAAGCCATTTGCTAAAATTAGACAAACGAGGTCGATGCAAAAGGGAATGTAAGTGAAAGAAGAGAATAATAAAAAGTGAGAAAGAAGATGGGGAAAAAAGTGTATACTAAAAAGTGAATATTGGATTGGCCACTGCGATGCGTTTTTGAGACTTCTGAAAACAAATGAGCAAGAACAACACTGCGTTGTAACTTGTTCCTGTAGTTTAATACACCTAAAACGAAAAAAATTTGGAACAGAACATCGATCCCACAAATATGTTTGCGGAGCTTTTATCTAATGGTACTCTCCTCTGGTAGTCATATTAGTGAGCCATAAATTGAAGTCATAATTATTAGTTCATGTTAATATCGCCGAATAAAATCTCATTAGCAGAAATCAAAGTTTGTTTAATTCTTCTAAATCTCATTGAATCAATTTGTAAGCAGAAGAAAAGCTGAGTTTTTTTTTTTCTATTACTTTTGCAATAAATGAATCCGTTTTTTTCCCTTCCACCTTTGACTGAAGAATGCATTTTTAATATACCAATGAATGATTGTTAAGTAATGCTTATGGATTAATAAAACTTTAATGCTTTCCTAGGAAATTCATTAATTGAAGCCACGTTATTTTTGAATTTAAAATGGAAAAAAAAGATTTGCACTTAAAAATTATAAAAAACTCATTTTTTTCCAGTTTTACATGTATTTTACGGCGAAGGATCGTCCCCATATATTTTTTTCCAATAAGTTCAAAAGTCATTGGTGATGGACTATATGGTATCACATTTTGCAAACGAACAAGCTGCTTTTGAGCGCCGCCAAAAGTTAATATTTTATAGTTTCGTATTTTTAAGTTCCATTTCTGGTTAAGCTTAGCTGGCCGCACAGGTTCGAGTGTTTCCAACCTTTTCATTCCGATGCTGCATCTGGAAATAGCATAAACACATCTTTTTTCCACCATCTAAGCCCCTTTTTGTGAATTAATTCTTAGTTCATTTTTATTTCTTTGTTTTTTAATTGAACAGTTGGTAATTAAATGAACCATTAAAGTAAATGAATATATATTTTTGAAAATTTATAAGTTCAAAAAAAAATGGTTTACAAAAGAAAGGAATTTAAAGGGAAGGAAAGGAATTTTAATTATCTGGTAAACAAATTTTTATTTAGACTAATTTTATCGAGAATTTCAAGGTGGTTTTTTTTTGGCTGTTATTAAGTAGCGCGGTTCTTAGCCATTTGCCTTATTAACTTAATTTTTTTTTTTTTGACTTCTGTCGGTATTTTTCAATCATTCCTAAAGCTTATTAACGAGATGAATGAAAGAAACCATAATTTCATGAGTTTTTGCTGTATTTTTGAACATTTTTAATCGTAGTTTTGCAGACTGAAGATCGGGCAGAAATTAAGAACTGAAAACATTGATGGTAGTTTCGACTCAATGATGGTTGAATCAAATTTACATGGTAACTGCTTGCCTCCAGAAATGGAGGAAGGCAATATTGAATATAAGGTCAGTTCTAGCCATAAGAAACTAAGATTTCCCGAATGATTTTTTGTTTTATTTTTATTTATTCCTATTTTCTTATCGAAATTTCGTTGTGCACTTGGGCAGTTAAAAATAAAATCTCATTTTAAATTGAATCTCATTTACTGCTTTTTTATATTCGAATATACTTTTAATATCTAGATGAAACTAGTGAATCCATCACCAACACGCATTCAACATCTAATCACGCAGATGAAATGGCGCTTGCGAGAGGGGCAAGGAGAAGCAATTTATGAGATTGGTGTCGAAGATGATGGCACAATGGTAGGCCTGACTGATGATGAACTGAATGCTTCAATGAACACACTTCGAATAATGGTTAATGCGCTAAGTGCGAGTATGGTTATTGTTAGTTTTTTATTACCTTAATTTCAATCAACATAAGTTTATTTTCATTTTTTTTTCTGAAATTTTAGTTGGGCGAAAGAATTATTAAGTCAAAGAGCAAAAAATCATCGCATCGACGAGTTGTTGAAATCCTTGTACGAAAGGTACCTGATAATCAGCAGTTCATTGATCTCAGGTAATTGCATTAAACTTTCTATGAAATCAAATCATTTTTTCCCTTTCATTTGTTTGAAATTTCATTTGATATTGCCAAATTTACTAATAGGTAATATACGCTGGGCTTGGAAACATTTTATGGCACTTATTCATATATAATTTAATTCAGTAATTGTTCACTAATAATTTTTGGCTATTTTTGTACAGGTTAGCAATACTTGGTGGAATTGATGTGGGAAAATCAACGCTTTGTGGAGTTTTAACGCAAGGAGTATTGGACAATGGTCGAGGAAAAGTAAATAATATCTTAATTTTTCATTGTTTTTTTAAGTTGACCGCATCAAGTAGATTGCAATAGTTAACAAATTTTTTGTTTCGTAATAGAATATCGTGACAGAGAGAAAAATTTATGTCGATAATTGACCTTATGTGCGGTTGGATTAACCAAAGTTTGAAAATGCACACTCGCTAATTATGGTGTTCTCTGACAAAGTCTTGTGAAAAAAATTATAAATCCTTTATTTGATATAGATTTTCGGTATCCAGAATCACGCAATTTTGCCTGAGGAGATGAAAAGGTGAGCTGGAGTTATTAGTTAATTTATTGAGCTAAAATGCTTTATCTTCTTCGTTTCTTCTAATATGAATTACCATAGAATCAGAGTCTCTTAATGAAAGATAACAGAATAAAAGGAAAAAGTAATATAAACATGTGTGTAACAGGGGGAATAAGATATTAAACATAAAAATATATTTTGTCATAATTCTTGTGCTATTTTCATGATTTATCAAGTTCACTGCAAATTAAAATCACTACAGAGATCGAACATCGCAGTGGGTGTTATGTTTTTTGCCCTTGGATTTTAAAAATAAATCCAAAATTCCATTAGTGACTTCCACTTATTTTTGTTCTAAATGGTATTCAGTTGCAGTTAGCCAGCAGTGCGACTGTTGACTGGCTGCGAATTCGTATTCTGATCTCTCTCATATTTTGTTTGCATGTAATGCTGCTGCAGAATCATTTGCAATTGCTTTATCGTTCCAGAGCCATGTTTCATCTGTAGCTTATGCAGCAGTTAGAGTTTTAATAGGAAAGAAAAAAAATGAGATATCAAGAAAAATATTCGGAATACAATATGCTTGCGAAGATTTCAATTCCAATAACTAATAATGGCAATGTTTAATGGCAAATAATAATTTCATTTTATGAACAACAAATTATATAATAATTAAGTGGTTAATTATAGACTTTAATAAAGAATAAATTGCTTCTGAGGTCAAAGGTGGAGGAGTAAGGGATTAGATCAGCTCTACATACGCAGAACTGGATGATTTTATTGCAATAGAATATACAGCTACATTGACAACTGGCAAGAATAACACCATGAAATCCGCTTTTCTGTGTAGTTCACAAACTAAGATCAATTTTTATTTAATTTTCAATTCGTTTAATTTTAGAAAATTTTCAAAAATTTGTAGTTTGTATATGATTTTTTACCTAAGCATAAGCCTAAATGGAAATAGAAATATGTAGATGAGCTTCAATGAAAATTTTGGTGAAGAAAATTAGAGAACATCGAAATTGCACAAAGAATTTTTTGTATTTGTGAAATCATTTAAAAATGTGCAAATAGAATCAGAATAAAAATAAAATGTTCTTGTTCTTTTATTGTCAGTGAAGTTGCATTTTAAGAATTTCTCATTTAACTTTTGTATCAAATTAAAAAAGCGATTTAACATACTACATTTATCTTGATTTTATTCCATATTTTCTTGCTCAAATGAAGAGAAGAAAAGAAGAGATATTTCTTGTCTTTAACTATATTTTCGTTACATCAAAATGATTCTTCTCATCTAATTTGTTCTAAGTTATGCATAAGCTCCCACTCATGATTCACATTTTGTATTTTTGAAATTGATATATTTTATGGGATTTCAGGCAAGGTTGAATTTGTTCCGGTACCTCCATGAGTTTCAGTCCGGACGAACCAGTTCTATCTGTTTGGATGTTTTTGGCTTCAATTCTAAGGGAGATGTGTGTTTTCACTTTTTTTGTTTTGCTATATGTAGATAGAAATTTATGAAATAGAAAATTTTTTATGTTTATAATTGTCGAGATGTAAATATTAAATTAAAAATCATTAAAAATTAAATAACAAAGTGAAATCAGAAAAAAATTTGATCAGTTCTCATATTCTTTGTTTGTCCAAGCTCATGGCGATAGTGAAACGACATTTTTCCTTCCTTTTGCAGTAGTGTTGGTACTTATCTTCCTTAACCAATTGATTATTATTCAAAGCCAATAGCTTCTTCTTTGTTCTGAGTTTATTTAATCGTTATTCATTGTTATTTGCATTCACTAATAATTAATTTTAAGCTGGTCAATTATTCAAATCATTCTTTGGATGAAATAGTAAAAGAATCAACGAAGCTTATAACTTTGGTTGACTTAGCTGGCGATCGAAAATATTTAAAAACAACCATATATGGTTTATCAGGTAACTGTTTACTTAATTTTTAATTTTTGTTCAAATAGTCCAAGAAGTTTGCGTTACGTTAAATTTTTGGATGAGTATTTTTAGTTAAGTTTTGAATGTAATTGCAGGTTATCAGCCACATTTTGCAGCGTTAGTTGTAAGCGCAACCAAGGGTCCAACGTCGGTCACAAGAGAACATTTGGGCTTGGCTATTAGTTTAAGCATTCCAGTTTTCGTTATTATAACGAAAATCGATGCTGTTTCACCGTCTGTTCTGCAAAAGTGAAATTAAATCTTAATTTTGACCATTTAAATTAAAAACTAATAACATGGAATGTAATGAGTAAAAAAATGAAAAAAAATGAAATGATGATAAAATTTCAAATAAAAAATTATATTTTTTTATTCTTTCGGTTATCATTATTATTTCGAAATTTGAGGTAATTTTCATTTTTTTCCTTTCTTTTTCATTTCTTTTGTTTTTTTAAATTTTGGCGATTTTTCCTTTTTTTGTTTCTGTTTCAGAACTGTTAAAAGTGTTGAATCATTGTTCAGGAGACCAGGCGTTGGTCGTATGCCAAAGCTTGTACTCAATTCTCAGGATGCTGTTGGGTATTTAATCTTCATACTTTCGAAGATATTTTTTGAGCATCGAATTTTCTTTTTACCATTGAATTATGTGTATTGCAGATATGCATCATCCATGATTAGTCAAAATATTGTGCCAATTTTTTCAATTTCTAATGTTACTAATCAAAATTTGGATTATTTAAAGCGGTTTTTGAATATTTTACCAGCTAGCGGAATGTCGATATCGAAACGCGATGAATTATCATTAGCTGCTCCTCTTTTTTGTATAGATGAAGTATTTTCAGTGCCACATGTATGTTTCTGAAGTTTTATCGTTTCGCATTCTGCCATTGGCATTAATGTTGGTTCACCAGTTATTGGTTGCAGGTCGGTATTGTGGTTTGTGGGTTAATGAACGATGGTATGTTAAGCCAGTATGATCGGATTCAGCTGGGTCCAGACAAAAAAGGTATGTTTCATATTGGAAAGATAGACAGCATTTATCGTAATAAACAACCAGTTCGATATGTGGGGCCTGGTGAAGCTCCATCAATAGCTATATCATTAACTGAACCCGATGCTCTGGCTTTTGAGGATATTCGAAGGGCAAGTCAACTGAATGTTTTTTTAAAATAATATGATTTTAATTACGATAAATATTCGTTTTTTTTTTTTTCATCATTGCGAGATGTAAACATTTAATAATTAATATGCATATATAAAATTTTGCATAAAATAATAAATCGTACAAATGAGTCTGCAAATTTGCCCATATTTTTTAGCAGTTTTTTGTGCTGAATGTATTACAACATTATGCTTTCATAATTCATAAAATCTTGAATCATTTTTTTTTTACTGGTTGCACAATTTAGGGTATGGTACTTATAAATTGGAAAGATATAGGTGTATCATGCCGTCGTTTTGTTGCACGATTTTATTTGCTTTATCATACTTCTGAAGAAATTTGTATTGGTTTCCAAGCAACAAGTATGTTTAATTGGTACATCACTCCTATATATTAATCGATAATTTTATTTTCATTTGTAATTTCTGGCTTAATTTTAAACTTTATTGAAGAAATTTGAAATATTTCAAAAGAGGAGTTATAGTTTACGATAACTTATACAAAATTTTCCACAGGGTATTAAAGACCAGTTTTCAGTTTACATTGGATCTGTTTGTCAGACAGCGACAATAATCGACCTGGATTGTCCATCAGTGATTCCGTGCGTCTGGGTAATAGCCACGTTTGAGTTTTATAGTTATCCAGAATTTGTTCGCACAGGAACACCACTTATATTTCGGCAGGGTCCAACTAAAGGCATGGGTGAAGTTATTGAGATATTGTGAATTTTTGGTAACATTACCTGTGTTGTTGCAAAACTTATTCTGATTCATAATTTATTTAGCTCTTTCAAACACAATAATAAATTCTTCATATTTCTTTCTATCTATGTGAGTATTATGGATGAAAATGAATACTTGTTGCCGTTTTATAATATATTTTCAGTTTTTTACTTCACGGCTGTGCCGGTGCCTTTTTTTAGATCTACATTTGTATTCAAAACAAATATAGGCTAATTCTTTAGTAGAAAAATTTTCTGAGATAGATAATATATATCGATAAAATAGTTAAAGAAGTTATTTCATTCTTAAATTATATCTAGAAATTTCGTTCGTAAGCGTCGTTCTGTGTTCTTTATTTAACTTTATTTTTTAATACTATAGGATTAAAGCGGAAATTTTGAAGAAATTTAGTAATGATGGTGCAAAAGCTCCTGATTTTGTTTTATCTTCTTTGATTTCCAGCCAAGTTATTCTTATCGATGCAAAACAGGAAAGTTTCCGAGTTTCCGATAATTTCTTTTTTTAAACATTTTATTAGTTGCAGTGACTTCTCCATACGCATATTGCTAGAAATAGGGCTGGGTCCTATGTTATCGCTCGGTTCAACTAATAGTCGTTTATATCACCTCTTATTAATTATAGTCTGCTTAACTAATTGGTGGTCTTCGTTGTTTCGAGCCGCCTTAAGCACATCTTTTTTCAACTCATTTCATTATACATTTTTTTATTCTTGTATATATATTTATAACTTTTCATTTCGTGATATTTGTAATTATTTACTTCTCAGTTATTAGTATGTTAAGCAAACTTTTTTATATTTTCCTTTCAAGCATTTTTGGATGGATATTTTCATTCTTCCTTTTTTTACGGGTGAAAAAGTCGTTCATAGTCGGCAGATGTGATATTTATAGTTATAGGGGAAATCTAAAGCGACTAAATTATTAATTCCACATGAATTCCAAAATTCTTTTCTTCAGTAACCGGAAAAATGAAATCCGTTATCTTTTTAAAAATAGGGATGTAGTGACCTTTCACTTAAATAAGTTTGTGGGTGGAAGTAGGTCTGTGGTTTTTAGAAAGCGCATCGTAAACTTGGGAATTCACTGAGAATAGCTACTACTTCCATCTAGCAAGACAGTCTCGATATATGTGTAGATGTATATATATTTAACAAAAATAAGGTTAAATGATGCCCCACTAGTTAGTTACTTTTTTCTTTTAATTTTTCCTTGAAAAATCTGAAATATGTTTTTACCTATTTTTTCTGTTTATTTTTTACACTTAACTATATTAAGCTAAATAGTTTATTTGCTGGCCAAGACCCAGCAAACCCAAAAAGTTGAATAACCCTGGTATAGTAAATATATTTATTATATTTTATATACTAATATACTAATACTAATATTTGTATACTAATATAAAATACTGTGTATATATATACTATATATATGTACTATATAATACTATATATAAATCAGTATATATATATATATATTGATATAAATTGATATATTTACTTTTATTATTCATGAAGCATATAATTTCTTGTGAAGCATTACTTCTTTTCCTTTTGCGTATCGTCGAGTTTTTCTTTTTTATTGTATCAATTTATGCCCATTATCATGTGAATAATGTCACTATAAAATAAAGGGTTTTCAATCAAGCGTTTTTAAGGGTTTTATTCTAGTAGAATGTTTTATGAAATGATGCAGATCTAAAATTCGCGAAGGCTTCGATTTAAACAAGCGTTAATGAAACGATTTGTAAGAATTTATGGAAAATCTTATGGTTGGCTTTTTTTGGATAAGGCAAATAAATCAAACTTCCGACATTTGTAAATTATAGTGCAGATTACCAGCAAGTTGTGGTTTTTCGCAAATATCAAGAAAATATTGAAAACGCGAAAAAAAGTATGCGATGGGAACTCATTTTGTTATGAATGACTTATACAAAAAAAAGAAAGGAACTTTACAAGTATTTCCATTCAAAACTAGTTGCAATAAACTTAAAAAATATCATATAGAGGTGAAATAAATCTTAATTTTTTTTAGAATTTTTTTAGCATTAAAATCAATTAGGAAAAGTTAAAATAAGAAGAATCAGCCAATAGGCATACGATTGAATCTTCTTCATCTACCGAATTCATTTTTCTATAAATTAATTATCGAATTTAATTAAATATTTTGTTTTAAGGCTAATTTTTTGGTCGCATTTTTTTTATTAGAGTTGGGATGCACTTAATTTAATTTAATTGAATTAAAATAAAAATCAAATTTGAGAAGATTTTTTAAAGTTTCTTCAAGAACAAAATTTTCCAACTTCGGCAACTTGAAATTTTAAAGAAATAAATTTAATAATTCAATGATTTAATTTTCATCAAATAAAAATAAGTTAAAACTTTCCATTTAATATTTCTTTCTTGTGGTGGAAATTTGCCTTTACAGTAAATCGTCAAAATGGTTTATATTTCCTTTTTTCTGAGCCATGAAATTTAGAAAGTTTAAAACCTTAAGAAAAACTATATGATTTTAAATAAAATCATAAAGTAAAAATGGTTCGGTTCGCACCACTGACTGTTGGTCTAAGATTTTTGCATAGGAGTCATTTGACATGCTCAATTTTAGAAATGGGTCGCCAAGGGCCAGCAGGATTTTTTAATGGCAAGTTTACTATCGTCATATGCAGTGTTCGAACCCTGATGCTCAAGATCGCATTATTATTATTTATTATTATTGTTATCATTAATTATTATTATTTATCATTATTTACTAATTATTATTATTATTTGCATTATTGTTAATATTATTTTTTATTGTTATTTATTATTATTGTTATTATTATTATTAATTATTAATTAATTATTACAACAAATTTTCTAGAATCTATTTCTTTTATTTTTTGAGCACATCAACATTGCTAATATTGAAAGCTAAGTGAATCGAATTCTTGAAAACGTAAGTGCTGTAAATTTATTTATTTCAAGGAGAATTTTTGTGAAATTATTATTATGAAATATTTTATTATGAAAAATAGTTTGTTTGTATTTTATGGATTCATATTTATTTTGATTTGTACTTCGTTTTCTTCGCATGTTTGCGAATAATTTAATTCAATTTATATGGCTTATTTTCATTGCAAATTCATTGCATAACACCAATGCATGGATCGCACAAATCCATCGTTTTGTATGAATTTTCATACGAATTAAAATTTTTCTTAAATAGTTTTCATTTAATAAGCGCTTAATTTGCTTGTTTTTTCAGCAATAATAGCTTGGAAGAATTAATTGAAAGATCACCATCAAATTGATTAATTTTTTTCGTAATGTAATCCATCGTCGATTCGCGATTATATCCATGTTTTTCGATCATTTCGTATTTTTCATTTTTTGCTTGTATTTGTTTCACTATTCAGTAGAAATTATCAAAATTATTCAGAATTTTATATCGTCGCCTACTTCTGTTTGTGTTGTGTTTCTTATTTATACTTCTGATTTTTGTAGAATCAGTGAGCATTTCTTGTTTTTTATTTTAAATGAGACACAGGTATGATATATTAATAAAGCATGAATTTGTTTTCCTTAGAGGTCGTTGAGATTTTTCTCTTGTAAAATCGAAAGTTTCAAAAAAATAAGTTTTTTGCAAAATGTCCATTATTTAAAATTATATGCGAGGCTAAAATTAAAATTGAATTATTTTTTAAATTATGATTTTGCAAAAATGCATCTACAAATAGACAAGCTTTTCTCATTTAATATCGGCTTCAAATTATTCGAATCTCATTCTCAGCGAATTTCAACAGACAAAAATATATACAAATCTTTCTTTAGGCTATGCTAAAACCATTCTTGCCATTGATGTGAACCAGTGAAATTAATCGTTCTTTTATATTTAACAATTTCACGAAATTATTCAATGTTGGACTTTATGGATATTTGATTCTGAATTGGCATTTTTTCAACTCATAGTTTGTAATGTTTATCTTAAAAAATCGTAGTTTGGTACGACAATTCATTTTTTCGTTATCCGCTTAAGTGAAACGATAGAAATCCTTGAGATTAATTTGATTCGATGATAGCAGATACTTCTAACTATTTCTGATTCGGTTGGCTCCACTGGCATTTAGCCGTTTTTGTCAAGAAAGCATATAGGAGTACTTGTTGGTCTTCACCACCATCTGAATTTATTCCAACCTCGACGCTCGAAGTGATGAGACTAGTCAATACTTCCGTTTTTTTACCTTTTGCTGTCGATGCTTATATTCTTATCTGGTAGTGAACCTTTAGGCAGTGTTAATAATCGAAAATAATTGTGCAACAATCAGATTACAACAACCAGTTTGCTGGCGGCAATAATTTTTTCTTCAAATTGATAGCAATAAAACTAGTAGTAAATTTTTTTTTCACTCATTTACTAACACAATGAATTTTTTTTTCGTTTATTTTGTTTTGTTCAGTTTATTCCGATTCTCTTATCCAATTTTTTTGTCATGAACTCATCGATAATGCAACTTTTCCTAGAAAGCTTCTTCCTTTAACTTTCGAAATTCATAAGCTTTCAGCGGTAGGTAAAGTTTTTAAAACTAAAAAGAGTTTTTATTTTTTTCATTTTTCGAAAATGACTTCAGTACTTTCTAGTGATTTCATTGGAATGTATTATTATTATCACATAACAATCTTTATCAGCGTTATCAGTGCTTTTGATTTATCGCAATCACTAGCATTATTCTGTATAAACTCTTATTTCTTATTATAGAATTATTTATTGTAGGATTGATAAATGTGAATTAATCTTCCCTTTCATTAAACGCTTTTTATGACAGTTCGGGCTTCTTATACAAACTTTTCAACCTTTTTCAATGCTAAATTATGGATTTTTAAATAAAGGTTTTATTTCCGAGGTGAATTTTTAGCGAAATAATTTTCATTAAATAGAGCAAATATAGTTCATTTTTGATGTTCGTACAATTATTACATTTTATTTGTGCTATAATATTTTATTTAATTGAAATTGGTGGTGAAAATTTGTTCAGTAGTTCAATAGTAAATGTGTAAATGTGAAGTACCATCCGAGGAGTATTCGCGATATTAGATTCTCTATGGATTTTATCAGATCAGATCAAGTAAAATATTAACTGATAACAATAGTTAAGATAAAGTTTATCCAAAGATAGAGATTTTAATTTATGCGAGCAAAGTTCCAATAGAATTTTAAAAGAAAATTTTCTGCGATTCACCGTTTAAAAGAGCCAATTTGCCGAATACCTTCAACTTTTATCAATATATTTTAATTACTTTTAAAATTCATACAGTTTATAGTTTATACCAATGAAAAATTGGTACACTACGACAATCCTAGTCGTTACTATGAGGAAATCTCATCAAAGAAAGCCTGAAAAATTAAAGATTATCACTGATTTTAGAAGATTACTATCGCTCTTTTTTCCTGCTAATAATAATTTTAGTTTGGCTGAATAAGTTAATTCTCTTCAGTTAATTCTCGTAATTATAAAATGAATTTTTACTCTCAAAATTTCCATGATTTTGACTATTTTCAGCTTTAGAATTTGCTACTTTTCGCTCAACAGGTATCATTTTTCTAGTCGAAATACATTAGAGAAGACAAGTTTTCGCTAATCTCTTTTCTATCTGTAAAATCATTTTATTGCTAATTTCCTTTTCTTGCCAATCTGCTCAAAATACCGTTGAAAAATTCTCTTCAAAGTAGTCTCTTCTTTGCATTTATTGTCCTATAACGTTATTGTAAATAAATTTTGCAATTTAACTTATTGTTGTTGAGATTTCACATATTTGTATTTGAAATTCATTTACCAATACAATCATTTCCAATAGAGATTATTCATTTTTTCATAAAATTTTAGCAGCTTTTTGTAAAAATTTTTTTTGTGCAATGAATCAAGCAAGGAACAACGCCATTCGTCGATTTAGAATACTAAACATTAAAAAGATAGCAATTACATAACAAATCCAAATGTGACAAAATAAAAGAATTGGAAACGATAGCGCCAGAAATAGTGAAAGAGGAGCGATAAATTGAATTAACTAAGCTAAATGTTGTTAAATGATATATTCGAATATGAATTAAGTGAACGGGGTTTTTTAAATCTCTTGTTATTTATTCGGTTTAATTTATCTTTATCTGGCGAAAATTTATCTCCCATATTCAAACCTGTAGTGCATCACTTTTGCTTCGGTGCTGAATCTTCGCAAATTTCATATATGTAATTTTAATGGATTTCTCTCATATAGAAATAATTGGCAAATAGAGCCATAAAGGCACTTTGAACTAAATACTTTGTGATGTATTGCATGATACTCTTATCTATGATCTATATGATACAAAAAGGTAGAATATGGTGCAAAGATGCTGTACGATGAATTCATTTGTGCAGTTTTAGAAATCTCATCATTGGTTGTAAAATTTAGAAATGATTTGTTCACCGTGTTGTACTTCTCCTTTTTGATCCACTGTCGTTCCAGCAATGTTTTCCAAGGATAACAGTCATTTTGATTTATCATTTTATATGTCCCCTTTAGCATTGGTTATGCACCTTCGCTCAGTCGGTTCTAAATGTACGTTTTATTTCATCTTTATTCTATTTTATTTTTTTTTCAAAATATTGCTCAAAGACATCGGCGATAAGTTGAAATATCGGCGTCAAGAAAATTTTAAGCAAACCCGTTTCGACTGGCCTGCCGTTAAACTAGAATCATTTTGTTTTGTCGTTATTTGTATTAATCAACATCGCATCGCTTCTATCTGTTGGTTGTTCGATATTTTAACATTTTTTTCACTGAACCTTGACGCATTCACTATTAAAAAATAATTTGTTATCAAAATAATTTCTTGTCAAATCCTTTGCTTCAAACATAACTTCGACTAGCTTTTTGCAGCTTATCAATTTTTATACTTCAATTTTCTTTTTCTTTTTCAAACAGCAATATTGCTTTGGCTGACTCAACTGACCATTAGAACAAGTTTCCATTGCCAGAGAATCACTTGAAAATGGATGAACATGCAGATCTGTAGCATCGCCACTTTTAATGACAGCTTTTTATACATTAAGGAACAGGAATTAGTTTGTTTTTTAGCTACATATTCTCGAGCAATATTGCTTCTTTAAAATATTTTTTTAGGTATATTAATTTAACATGAAAGGATTAGTCAAACTTCTTATTTTTATTTCTTATCTGTATTTCCTTACAAATTGAATGCTATTGATAGCTTTCGGTCAATTTTTATTTTGTTTTCAAGTTTTCTTCGAATGAATTTGTGTTATCCACACTAAATAGCATTACCTTAAAAGCAATAATGTAAATTTTAATAGATTAATAGACTTATTATCGACGATACGGTGGAACTCCGTTTTCAACAATTTCATGTGAAGTTCAAGTAATCAAGTGATTTGACGCAGTGCTTATCTCACTTTATTTAGTGTTTTTGCCTCTTAAACCTTTTATGGATCATTGGATCACTGCATCGGGCTGTTTGTTATCAATTAGTCATCAATTAGTATTTCTGGAATATCACTTCAAAAACCTATCACCCCTCGCAAATCAGCAAATAAACAGAGATATATAGTTAATTGTAATTTAGATTACTTCATTCAGAAGCAAAAAAGTGGAAGATTTAATGGAAGATTTTACTTTTTGAAATGGCAAATGTATAGAATTACTAGTCGATCGGAATAGATCGAGGAGAAAATAATTAAATGTTCTACGACTTATTTGATAGCAAATTTATATTTTCATGCATTCAGTTTTCAGTTTGAATTGAATTGAAATTTGAAAACAAGTTCAATCTCAAATTTTTTATGGAAAAATTGTGCAAAAAATATTGCAATGGTTTGTATTAGTTTAATCTATCAATATCCGATGATTTCTAATTCTCGCACTAACACTTTCATGCATTAATTTTATTATTTGTGACTCTAAATTAACGATCACACGGAGCTTATATGACTGATTCACTAGTTTTAGACCTTTTCATTTTAACCTATTTATTTTATAAAATAGCAATTCTTGGAAGTCGACAAATCACATGTGAGGCGTTTGTCGCTCTATATAATAACTGCCTGAATTCGCGTTTGCTCAGTTATCAAGATTAAAAAAATAAAAGAATATTGTTCTAATGAATAAGTTTTTGATAGAGAATAATGAGAATTTCTACAAAATTAAAAGAAAAAAAAAACAAAAAGAGGAAATAAAATAAAACTTACTTTCATTTTTTGGCAAATATTTGTTCGAAGTTCCTAGTAAAAATTATTTGTGAATCACCAGCTTTTTGTCCAATCTGAATAGATATATATTTCAATCAGCGACGGTACATCGGTAGATTAGTGTCCAAGATGTTTACTACCGAAAATTTGGCCTTGCGTTTAAGACGCGCCATGATTCATCGGATGGTAGTGATCGGATGTTACCTAATGGAGAAAGCAAAGGAAGTAGGTTCATTAGTTTTCTCAATTCGGAGCACCGATGCAGAGGTTCTACTCCCGGCGGAAATAAATCTGTCCAAAAATCAGGGTGTTATTAGTGACTCATGTGCAATTTTGTCGCTAATGTACCCCTTGCATTTTTGTCCAGTCTTGCAATCCAGTGGAGCGAGTTTAATCTGCTGCGGTGAGCGATATTAAAAAATTCGAACAACATTTCATACTTATATTGTATTCGAATTCATTTGTATGATAGTTCCATGACTAACATGAAAAAAATGCTTGTTTGTCAAAAGTATTCGTCTGACGGAAGTTGGCATAAAATACACTGACGTATGATGCAGTTAGATAAAAGAATATTTTCATTTCTAACTTATCCCACCTTTCTAATTCTTTATTTGATTATTTTATATAGTTCTGCAGTTTTTTTTTTGCTCGGATGGCGACTTACCTATATTTCTCTCAAGTGACTTGGTAACTGAAATTACTTGCTCTATTAACCACTGATAGAGTGAGCGCAACCCGAAATCGCGAGAAATGCTTAGTTATTACTTACTTTATTATAAAGCAAATAGTTAGCCCAGTACCTAAAAAAATTTAACGTCAATCTGTGCAGTCGGATTTCACTATTAGAATTCATTCTATTCTATTTTCGCGTCTGCAAGTAAGGTTGACGCATTTGATAAATAAATATAATAATTTTGACAAATAATTTCTTGAAATGACCTTTTCTCTTGATTAAATATCGAATTGGCAATTTTTAAAAATTTTTCTTGCCAAAAATTATTCGGTATTTTAGAAATTCCTAAATATGCACATCATAAGTTCATATGCGTTAAATGGTGACGAAACATCGATGATAAGCTGAAAGCTGAAAAGCACTTGCTATTTGCTAAACATTTAAAGTGTTTCAAATTTGCTTTTTAATAAATCAGCAGTAATGTGCTTGCTCATTACAACGATAGTTTAAGAATGTGATAGGAATATATTACAATATAAACTGGTTGCTAAAATTGTGACCAGGTTGATAGTTGCTTTCGATTATTATAGGTTATTTTAACACGAAGAATTTCCGAAAAATAGCAGCATCCATTCATCTACTGGCGTATTTTTGCATCAAAGCTATTAATTTAGATTAATTTGATTTAAAAAAATAAATTATTAAAATAAATGAGAAATGGAATTAATTTTTAATTTAATTTTTAAAATAAAAATCATTTTGTTGGTTGGTCTTTTATGGGATTGGAATACTTTAGTTTGATTACCAATATTCTGAGCGATTTTCCAGTTCCTTTGCTAATTGTTTAAAATATGATCAATAGCTCGTTTAATATCATTGCCTAAAGCCAGTGGAAAATGATTTAATAATTGGATTTGAAACAGTTGCCTTTCAATGTTGTTGAAAGGGTGATTAGCAGACACTTGTGCCTCGTTATGGTTTTTACTATACATTACCGGTTTTCTATTCTTTCTTTGCATTTAATTTTGTCTTTTTCATTCATGGAAAAGCTTTTCAAATTTATAAAAATAATAATAGTTTATACAAGTTTATAGAAATAAGTAAAAGTAAAATAAGTAAAAATAAATATTTTTAATTTAAAATAAATATAAATAAAAATAAATATAAAAGGTCAGGCCATATGTAATCTTCAATTCATTAATTTCCATCATGTCGTACTAAATTCTTCTTATTTTAACAGCACTATTTCTGCTTTGGCTAGTTCCAGTAGTTACTAGAAAGTATCTGTTCCATCGTAAAAATACCTAGAGGTAGATATACGGGTAGACCCAGAGCAACGAAGGAGTAAGGTGGATCCCTGGCGCCTCCCGGATTTCCTTTTTAATGGCTTATTCTAGTTGATGGATAGGAGCAGATCCCATAATTCATACACTGAGTCGATGCAATATGCTACTCGATCATTCCCTCCCCTATTTTTTTTTAAAGTTTTCATTATTACTGGTTAAACTCGCTTCGCTGGCTTGTCGCATTGGACAAATATGCCAGAGAGTCCCTTAACGATAGAAATATAAGTGAATCGTCAACATCACCCGGATTTTTGGGCAGGTTTATTCCTGCTGGAATAGGATCTCAGTATTGGCTCTCAGAATTAAGCAACAACGCACTGGGCCATCCTATCCCCCCTCCCACCCCCCTATTGTGTAACATCAAACATTAATCTATTGAAAGATATTTAGAGATGTTCTTACACATTAAAATTTCGTTTAATTGCTTAATTATTCAATTATATGATTTAGAGAAAAGCTCTCTCTGTTTTGTGATTAATTATTAATATTTTCATGAGTAAAGTTATCCATGCCTGCGGCTGTAATTAATAAAATTTCTCGAAAGCTAATTTCTTGATTTAGAAACGAATTTTATTCGAAAATTTCTCATTTTATTCTCATATTCGATAGAAAATCAATGAATTTTTCATCAACTTTTAGGATGCTTTTACTATAAAGCGGAATTCATCGAATGAAACTAATTTATTCTTTTGGGGTTGTAAATAGAGTGTATTCGATGCTTTACTTTTATGTTTTTATGAAAATCCATTAGATTTATTTTATTCTTTCATCCATTTTTTTTCTTTCAAAATAAACTCTCCCTCCTTAAATAAACTTTCTCAACTCACTCTTTTCTGAAGAAAAATATTAAACTAATCATTAATTTCAAACATCTGATTATAATTGAATATATTCTTATTTTCTTATATATTTATCTATTTAAATGCATTATATAAATTCGTTATTTTTAAAGAGTAGTATGTTGATAAGTATTTCATTAAGCTGTTGAGCAGTTTGCAATTTTTTCTTGAGAAATTTCGAAAAAAATGACGATAATCAACGATTCGAGTAGATTGTTTCACAGCAATATGCACTCGTTAAATAAGATTCGCAAATCTGGAATTCACAAAATTTAGGTTTGTTTGAATGGTAATCAATACACCTTGAGAAAACCTTCGTCGAACATTCAATCGGGTGAAGTAAAAATCGAAAGGCGAAGGGCACAAAATATAAGGTAAAATATTTAAAAAAGTAGATTAAGAGGCTAAAGAGGAATTTTGCTTCACATAATTTCTTTTTTAATATTTCATCTTCGAAATGAAGAAATCGCATTCATTTTTAATGAAAATATCCGCTGTTTGTCATTATCCAACTAATTTAATTGTTCCTTTCAAAATGTTGTGCACTAACAGAAAAACGAGTCTTTATTCGAGATCATTATATGTGATGATGCTTTACTAGTCTTTTTTGATTGATAAATCAAATATCAACGCTGGTTGAATGTGATAAGAAGTGAAATTAAAAGTTGAACTTTATATGACTAAAATTTCTGAAACATAGAAACAATTAAGTCGATGGATATCCGCTTGAGATAAACTGAAAACAAATGGGCATTTTTGTAAGTATTTTGAAGAACATTAATAAGAAAGAACATTATCTCTTGTCTAGAAGGCAAGGGCTACAGTTCTGATATACAACCATTTTATAGATAAATTGTATAGTGACAGTGACAATTTTTGGGCAATTCTTAAATGACCGAATGATTTCTCAAATGAGCGAATGAAATGCTTTTTATCATTGAGGTTCTGGAAGAATGATATTAAAGTCTTTTTTCTATGTTCTTACAAATCAAAACTTTTTTAGCGTTAGTTGGATTCTGTTCTAAGCAGTCTTGATCGTTCTTACCTATGCCACTAAATCATAATCATTTCTTTTCAAGAATGACACGTGCTCTTTGTGGTATTTAGGTACTAATGACTGTGTAAATTGAAATTGTAAAGATTTTCGGTTTCGTTTGGAAAGCAATATTTTCGCGGTTTTTAGCTCAGATTCGCTAAATAGCCATCAATTATAAATTAGCTCTCGAATTTTATAATGCGATTAACCAATTATCAATCAAACTTTTGATTCCTCCTTCATATTCAGTGTAAATGTTATTCGTTCTTTTAATCTTATCGGAAGTTTATTAAACTTTAATTAATTAATTATTAATTTATTAAACTTATGGCCTTCTTGGATCCATGGCTCAATTCTTTTATGACGATTGATCGCGAAGGGCTTCGATAAAAATACTAATTCAGGTTTTTAGCCTTCAGACCATTCCAATCAATGCGTGATTAATAACTTCGAACATTATCATCAATCGTATCGAATATTGTAAACATAATGCTGTTTGTCTTACTGTTATTCGTAATAACGCAAGCTGATCATGTTGGTATGGTTTTCTTATCATCTAAATATCACTTATCATCACTTCATGCAAAAAAATTTGAATTCTCTTTGAGCAAACTCATTTCTTTTTTTCATATAAGAAGAGAGAGTGTAAGAATAAACTGAATAAACTGATATGAATGATGAATTATGTAATATAGTCAGAGAAATTTGGTTTTAGCTAGATCGCGAAATGTATAGAGAGAAGGGCTTTTAGGATGAAAATATCGCAAAATCAGTAATTTTTGCCGAAATTTTTATACTTTCTATTCATCGGATCAGTGATATTTCTAAAAATTAAGTCAAATAGAAATGATTAACAAATATTATGTTCCAACGCCGCACTGGTTTCAATGCAATTTTTTGTATCCTTTCAATAAAATTGGAAGCAATTTTTTATAGTTCAAGAAACAAATTCTTCATCCACTGGTTTGCATACTTCTGATTCAGTCTCATTATGGTTTCCACGATCTTATCGGATCGCCTGTTGTCAAGGTGGTTATCCAATTGCTGATAACCGTCAGGTAATCGCATATTATATGATAGATTTAGATTACATCAAATATATTTGATTAGTGGAGATTTAAGCGAAATACATTTCAGTTAATAATAAATTTCACTGAAGATGTGGATTATTCAAGTGATTCGAGCGATGAAAACTTTAACAAATACGAGGACGGGAATGCTCAGTTAAACTGCAAAATATTTCGGGGCACTTATCTTATTTCTACGTCTTCAATTTTCTTTAAACAGGGTCCTGTTGGAATCAAATGTAAGTGTCCAGGTAAAAATATTTTTCCATTTATGTTTTACTTTAATATATATTTTATTCATGCATTTTACTTATATTTTCATTTTATTATATTTTTTTAAAGTGCAACTATTATAAAGGTGAACTTATCCTAGAACTTAGCTTTTTAAGAATTTCGTTAGATTTTTGAATTAATTCCATTTTTTGTAGAAAAGATTAAATAATCCAAGTGAGAAGTCAATCTTACAGAGAACTTTTTCCTTCGAAATTTATTATGTGATTCGCTTAGCATATTAAAGCAGCAAACATATTTATATTTATGTTAAAGTCAATTATTATTTTCCATATTTCAAAAAATTCTTGAATTGATACCTTCCGAGAAAATATTTACACTATTATGGCACTTTCTTTTTTTCTATATTAGAAAAACTCTTGAACATAAAGTTATTTTTGAAATCCTTCGAAATTTCAGAATCCCTTAGAGGAGCCCTTCTGGATAAAAATTGTCGTTCTATTGCTCCATGTAGAAATAATGGGTACCGTTCATTTAATTCGGATTCTCGATGTTCTTGTCCAGAGCCATATTTTGGTGATTATTGTGAAAAATTCTGTGATCAAGGGCAACGTTTGAGAGGTTTACATATTTACATATTTCTAACCTCATATAAATTTTTTTTCATTTCTCGTTCCTTCTTTTAACAGCTTGCACCAATAGTTAAGCCGGCTCGGTTGGCTACAAGGGTAGTCTCAAAGCAGCTGGATCTGATATCATGTCTGAAAATAATCTCGAAATATTAAAAATATTTTTTAAAGCAGCTTCTTCAAAGTCTCTTTCGACTGTAAGATCAGTATGATCTTGCTTGGTTCCTCGCTTTTTAAACCATCCATCGAAGGATTTAATAAGCGAGGAATCAATCCATGGGACGATGGAATTAATTATATATATATATATATATATAATATAGGCCTAATTAGCTTTATATGAAGATGTTGCGAACCATTTAGTATTGTAGCCAAGGTAGTAAGGTAGATTATATTAGATTATATAAGAATCTATTCTGCAAGCACTTAAGAAGTGCCTTAGACATGAGTGATGAATGATCAAAAATATTTCTTACACTCTTATTGGTCATATTTCGCCAGTCTTTTCTTTCATTTAATTTATTTATTTTTTGCAGGAACCCATGGTAAAAATATTTGTTCATGTGTGCCATTTTATCAAGGTGAAGAATGTAGCAATATTGTTTGCCTGAATGGTGGAAAAGAAATGGGACGTCGTTGTGCTTGTCCACCAAATTTCCATGGTTTCCACTGCGAAGTTTATAACAATGCTAATGGTGCCATCTCGAAATTCCGTGCTTTTACCGAACAGGCAAGCAAATCATTAAAATGCACGCTAATTGGTCAATTTCCTTCGTACATATTTCATTTTCTCTTTTTATACTAACAAATGAGTTACAATTGAGAAAGTAGCCGACTTGCCAATATATATTTTTAACAGCATGCATTATTACTGGTTAGGCTGACTTCGCTAGCACAGAAATGAAGCACTTCTAAGCCACTTGATCCGATATCTCTAGGTCCACAGCGTTTCAATATTTATCAAATCTAATTTTCCTTAGGTTAAAGCAGTAGCAAAGTTGATGTAATAGTGTAATACTAAACCGTGATGAGAATCCATATGATTTCTTGGTGTTACCATACAAAAAAGATTCAGGACATGATTCAAGGCGAATTATTGACAAGGGATGTCTCAGGCACCATATTCAGTTTAATCATGATTATTGTTCTTATCATTTCGATGTATTTGTTGATGAAACATCGAATGCAGGTAAATTCTGTTTAAAAAGAAAATGTTTTACTTACAATTTGTTAATCTTGAATGCTTTTGCAGTTCATTTTAAGAGATTTTGTTATTTCCATGTCAAAAGCTGTATTCGTTTCATGGATATTGCACCTAGAATTTATATTCCTCATTCTTCAAACGCTTATTGTCTTATCATTTCGGGAAAAATGAGATACTTCAATTTTTATAAATTTCTAAGTTTTAGCCACTTAGAAATTTAAATTAATCTTACATGCTAGCAGATTTTTGTCTGGGATTATTGTGTATTCGAATACACTTATGTATTCGAATTCAACATCTGAATTTTAGATTCAAGTACAGAGCCGCTTTGCAACAATGCGACGCGATCCAATGATTCGCACGGCATTTAGTTTGGCTTCACGAAGAGGCGATTTTATTGTTCATGAAGGTGCAAGAGTAGTACCGCTTCGTATAGTGCCTAATAGCGGACCACCACCGTATACCACTCAGTCCAGGCTAGGTTCGATCTTTTCCTGTTTGAAGAAATAAAATATGGATCACTAATGAAATAAGCTTGAAAAAGATTTGAAAAAAAAAGATTTCAGAAACATTTCATTATTTTCAAGAAGATTATGGCTAAATTTTTTCTTCCACAAGTGGAATTGAAAGTGTGGTTGAAAATTAAGCACCTTCAAATAATTTTTAGATTAATTTTGCAGGGCGCAGTCGCCATAATATTCATCTGCCACCACTTCCAAGCTATGAAGATGCCACCAAATTACCACCGTTACCTCGGTTAGTTGCCAGCGATTCTAAAGATTTGGTAAAACTGTATTATTTTCATTTATATAAATTTAATTGACAAACATTATATTACAATGATAATAATAACAATAATAATACAATAATAATAATTAATAATAATAATGCAATAATAATAATAAATCTGGTTTTGAAAATGGAGTTATATGAAAGTAAAGAAAAAAAACAGGTGTTTAGCATTTTTGGTTAGAGTGTTCTCTCTGGTTAGGAATATTTTTCAAGGAGTCACATGACGACAAAAATACGAGCGACCAGTGCACCGGATTTTAAATGACAGGTGTGATCCTTGTGGAGAGAACAGAAGCAGATCCTTACTTCTCACCATGATAATTTGACCCATTATCCACTTGACTGATAAGTTTTTTTTTAAGACCACTCATCATTATTTGTTAGACTCGCTCCGCTGCCTTGTCGATTACACAGATATGCAGAGCAGTCTCTTGGCGATAAAAATACATGTGGGTCTCTAGCATCACCTGGACTTTTCGGACGGTTCTTTTCGTGCCGAGAGCAATATCTGAGAATCTGAGCATCAACTTAAGTAACGAAGCATGTTGCATCGGCTGGATTCGAATCTAAACTTCGATTCTTGGAGACAATTTGCTTACCAGTGAGCCACCGAATGTCCAGTTATTTGAGAGAGATTTTTTCTACCTGATTTTATTGCTCAATTTAAATCAAGAGTGACTGAATTTGGGCAATCAGAGATATATGGGCCACAATATTACTACAACTTCTGTTGCTAAAAAGCCTGCTAGCCTTGTCATTGTTACCAGCTCTAGTTTGGTGAATCTTAATTTTCATTCCTAAGTAAAAATTTGAGTAAAGTGAAACATCATTTACTAAAAATTAGAAGGAAGAAATTTTTTTCACTTAAAGTAGGTTTTAGACTCTAAGTTCTTTTTTTGTCAAGATCTTTATAACTAAGATTTTTCTTTCTTTTTCTCCTTTTTCTTCTCTCAGCATTTCTTATTTGGCTTGCGCTTTTGGCTATTAGGATGAGAGCCGATCTCGAAAAATTACTTAGCGACAGAAGTACTGGTGAGTGACTAGCAGCACTCGATATCTCAACAACTAAAGTTCGCAATTTGCTTAATATATATTTATATTACAGTTTAGCAACTTTTTTCGATAAATATTGATCATTCGTTAAAGTTAATGGTAATGCGAAAGATATAAATAAATTCTGCTTCATCTGCTAAAAAATTGTTAAATTTAGACAGTCAACACTAGAGATGGAGAGTCCACCAAGTTCATCAAGGGACCAATTTTCAACAAACATATCGCTAGTAGAAAATCTAGTCGACGAAGAAGCGCGACAATCAATATCAGTGTCTGAAGAAACTGGTCACACTCCTATTTTCACTCCAAGCAGGCTAAAATTTAATCGCACAATAAGGAATAGAAGTATTTGATTTTTTGTTTAGCTTGATTATATATAAGCAAATCAAACTTAATCTGGTAATATTAACTTAATCGAATTATCAAATCGCTTATTTATTTGTGCATATTGCTTTGTCGAAAATCTTATCTGTCAATTTCCGTTCCTACGATGCAAAATTTTTTTCAAATTTCCTTATACTATACCATTAATTTTTTTCGCGAATCGTAGCTTTACTATAGATTCATTAATTGATCTATTTTTTTTGTAAATACACACTTAAGTGATACTTTTATGTTCAACTCAGGATATATTTTAAGTTTTTTTCTGATAAGTTTTTTTTTTGTTAGTAGCAAGTAATTTCTTTGAATTTGCAAAGCAAACCCAAAATTCATAAGAATTCACGTTTAATTTGGTAAATGGTTGACGATTTAAATATTTTCCCATTCATAGCTCGTTTCCTGATTTCTTTGCTACTCTCAAAAAATTTCTTCTATTTTAAAATATTACTGGTAGATGCTGTGATTTTTTGTACAATCTACTCTTTAAAAATGCTCAATGTGAATAAAAAAATGCGATGAGATTCCGTTTCTTGAACTATGCAAAACTATTACTAATGATGCTTTGAAACACTAACATTTAAAAAAAAGAAAGTATGGATAGTATTTTTGCATTTTGCCTGATAATCGAAGGAATATTTAGTTATAATATCTTATAGTTATAATATAAATGAAGCAATTTCTCATGGACCATCCAGAAAAAAAAACAAGATATCCATGGATTCAGAAATGGTGCGTTGTGGAAGACGATAGTATGATAAAGCAATTAAAGTTGAGTGCAAAAACATCTGTGCTTTTTTTTCCTTTTCCATTCGATCCAAGAGTAAATTTATTTTCGTAAATCGTTAATCGTTATAAGCTATATTTTCCAATCGCGCTATTTAGTAAAGAAGTTCAAATGAATTTTAAAGTCATAAATTAATGAATTGCTTAGGTGATAATTTAAAGTCCTCACTTAATTTAGAATACGCACAGGTGATGCATCCAAGCTATATTCGGAATAATTTTTCCTAGAAGGAGTTTAAACCAAATGCGCATTATAGTGTGGAAAGAAATGGTACTTATTTGCAAAAGCGGCGGTCATTCATTTGTTACACAAGGGCCATCTTTTTTCTTGTTATAACAGCACTCATCATTTCTGGTTCGGCTGGCTTCAGACTGGTTATTAGCGTAAGACAACTTCGCTAAAGAGTCACTTGAAGATAGAAATCACTTGAAGATTTAAGTATAGATGAGTCCTGAAAACTATCCATATAAATGTCGCTGTACTGTGGGCAAAAATTTATCTTGAAACCAACAACAATCGCCTGATTCGGCAATTCTTTTCCTTCTTTTTTTCAGTTAGTTTTCACGAAATTTGAAACGGAACAACCTATTTTTTTAATTTATTTTTTTTTATATGGCCTTCCAACGTTTTTTAAAAATTATTTTGGCATCGATTTTAAGACAGCTGATTTTAGTGCAAAATTCCGTCTCACTCGCATTTATTATCTTATTTTGTTGTGCAATTTAAAATCGTCTATTATAAATCATTTATTGTTGCGCTCATTCTTCATTTAATTCGATAAGACGAACTTCGAATTTTATTTATTTTCATAGAAATATTTATTATATTTGACGGTTGGTTATCAATGGAAAAATTTTGGATTTCCGGCGAAGGCTAGTTTCGCCTCTTCACTGAGATATTTGATTTGGTTGATAGATAAGTTTTACGGCTTTGTGATTTCTTTTGTGAAACTCTTTTTTAGCTGTTTATTTTCTAATCTTCAAAGTCAGTTTGAGCAAAGAGTATTACACCAAAGAGCTTTCTTCGCATTCGAATAGCTCTCACCATTTCTGATTTGCTTGCCTCCACTGGTTACTAGATTGAATAGTGGTAATAGATGGATTTTCACTTGTTTCTTATTACATATTTTTTAAATCTCTTCCATTTTTCTCGATATCCTTTATTTATTTAATTCTGCGAAATCCTTCGCTTCTGAATTCTCGAGCTAATTAAAGCCAATTATTTCATTAACATCTGAAAATCATTCCTATTTTTAGAATTCCATAGGTGTACTATATTTCGTCAACAAATCATTATCAAAAATCAGAAATATATTGAAAGTAAAAAATGGAAAAAATAAATGAATGAATATATATGTCGGGTGATGCTGGCGACCTGTATTTCTAACGCCAAGGGACTCCCTGGCATATTTGTCCGATGCGACAAACCAACAGAGCGAGTTTAACCAGTAATGGTGAGGACTCTTAAAAATGTATATATTTATATGAATGTAATAAGCTTTCCCTATATCTTTTCATGTCGCAGCTGGATGATTGTTATAATCTTCGTAAATTTTCCCATAATCAATCCCTGTCACCACTTTGCAAGCCAAAATTAACTTAAAGTACATCAAATTTATGAGGCCAAACATAAATTTCCACTTATTATATTTCTCAGCAGCATAAATTAATCGTGATTCACACTTGATGCAGGATTCATACTTGATACTGACAGTTAAAATCAATTGTTTGAAAAAAAACGATACAAAAAATGCGCAGTGCTTTAAAATTACTGACTTTTTACTGACCTTTTTAACTAAAACCAAGTTCATATATGGTCATTTTCTCTAACCAAGAAAAATTGGGACCGAAGAATTAAGATCTGCTTTGAAGAAAGACTATCAGTGGTATATCAGGGATATTATTAATTCTTTCAGTCGCTTTTTTCCCTTGGTTACAGTTTTACCATCATTTGATCATTTAATTACTTTTATCTTTTTGCTAAAATTCACCAAAGTTTTATTCTAATTTATGTTTTATCGATCAATCCGCAAATTTCAAAGCGCTTTTGCAATAATAGATTTAATCCACCATTTGCATATCAGCAATCAGTGGTAAACATCTGATAATTTCTTTAACAGCGTCTAATTTAAATTTTAAGACCGGTTTCTCAGCACATTCATTTTCTTGTTTTTGCACTAATCTCCGATCTATCAAATGTATATATTTCCATAAAGAAAGATTATTTTCATAGACAAATATGGATTCATCTATTTCAGACTGAATCTTTTCACAGTTCATTTATCGTTTAAAAGAGATAAAAAAAAATCCACATTAAAGTGCTAGAAGTGCCAATATTAAAGTGGAATTATAAAAAAGTGGCGAAATTATTTGTGGCACAAAGCGATAATTAAGCACGAAGCAAAATTACTGTCAGACTTTTTTTTCAGTAGAAAATTTTATGTTGAATTTAATCAAATTTCCTATGGTAAGCAAACAGTATAGTACTAAAAAAATCTGAAATCAGTGATAATACGATAAGTTACAGTCCTGGTTGTTCCTTGAGCTAATAATTGAACTATAATTAGTGTTATATATCCGAACTAAGCTAAAATGAATCTTGGATTTCATGTCGCTAAACTTTCGCAAAACAAAAATTAGTATTCATTTCTATAGTATTCATTTCTACTAATTTCGTTATTCGCGTGACGCTTATTTCTTCCATTGGCATCGCATAGTTTTATAATACATGGAAAGTTCTTTTCTGGCTTATAAATGCATCCATATATATTTTGCACAAATTAATTTATAGTATATCAAGCAAGCAGCATTCGAATTGAAGTAGTATATCTCTTCTTTTCATTCAAATGTTCTTTTGCACTAATTTTTGGATTTCACTATTTTTGGCGATTTATGCTTTGTTCATTTCCAACTAAAGTTTTCCTTTCTTATTTCCATATTATTTTTTTTAACAAAACGAAAAAAATTTTAATACGAAATGATTTCGAAGCAATTTGCCGTGAAAAAATAAGATTGATGATATTGCACTTAAGTGAATTAACTACGAATCCATTAATGATTGAATCTTTTTCAAATTGCTTCTTGTTTTTTGCGCGCAGCCACTCTCCCACATCATTATGGCAGCCACAGTACGATGTTGGTATCAAAGCTATTTTTTTGTTCTGGGAACAATTCTCCATTTTATTGCGATTTTTTAATCTAATTCTTACATGAAAATATTCGTAGGAGAAAATAGTGAACATAGTAGCGTCAAACAGAAAACAAATATGCATGCGGACTTTGTGGTAACTTTCTCCTCCATCCATCAATCACCTTAATTTAATCGCTATTATGCGTTAATCTTCCAATAAAAGACATATTCGGGGAATTTTTTCTCCATCCTAATTCTATTGATATATTGTTTTTTTTGGTAGGATGCTCATCACGGTAGGTGGAACACGGAAATTCTGCTTAGATTTTTTTGCAATAAGTAATTTTACTTATGTACATGTGTGTTAAATGCATGTAGATTTTTTTTCCTAAAAAAATTTTTGTTAAAAGTTCTTGTATTACCCATTTTACGAACATCCGTGATACAAATGTGTGTTGCATATTTTCGATATGCTTGCGGGAAATTCTGCACTAATGTTAATAAAGCGTAAGTGACAAAATAACGGGCTAGGGCAGGCGAAGGAACAAACATGAATTTTCATATCAATTTCACTTTTAATTTAACCTACCCTATAATGATAGACTACAATTTGGAACTTTTGCTTGAATCTATAACAACATATGGAGTCTTTAGCATTGTGCTAAAATTTATTTTCTAAAATTTAGAATCATAAACTAGAATTTGACAAAAAGCTATTATTTTTTTGAAAAGCTCTACTAGTTGTTAGTGCGATTTAAAATTTTTGCCATCAAGTCACTTGGCGAAAGAATTACACCTGGATCACCAGCACCACCTGAATTTTTTGATGGCAGGTTTGTTCTTATCGAGTCAGGGAATCTTCTGATGATCGATGCAGATCGAAGCCATTTGACGTACTTAGTTAATTTAGGCTGAGACGAAATATGTATCGCTTAGATCATTTCACGTATCTTGTTTCCGCTCCTGCCCGTGATAGAAATAAATCTGATAAAAAATCCGGTTGATGATCGAAATCCATTTGCACTTTCACTTTTGTCCTTAAGTGAATGATTGGCAAAA